AAGCCCATCGCTTACATTATTTTCTTGGTATCCCAGGTAGAAGTCAAGCAAAACGGCAATTTACAACGTATGGGTGCCCCATTTAAGATAATTGTGCCTGCGGTGATGTGTCATAAGCAAGCCAACTTGATTTTACAAGTTAGCAAATCAAACTCCAGCAGTTGTGTAAATACCATTACTTAATCAGATGTACATGCAGCTTCCTTAAACACACCTTTGCAAGTCATAGCACCCCAAAAAGCCTGAAACGCCAAATTAAATGCCACACTTAAGCCTGATGCAGTAGCCACAATTTATTTTTTAACCAATACCTTTGCACAGTCTTTGTGCATGTTATCTGCTTTTAACGTGCACTTGCAATATTAACAGAAGCAAACAGAATTACAGCAAAGTTAGACATCCACATTTTATTTCGTGTGCCCATAAATAGACTCACTTTTCAGATCTCACAGGGTGTTATTACATACAGAAATTGTGCACTAATCTAATGAAGCAGCTTTTACATGTTTTACTAAAAGATCAGGATTCTTGCTGTCTTAGTCTTCAAAAAAGGTTTTCAATCAACTAAATGTGGTGTCAATAACGCCAAAGAAGACCCTTAAAATAACACAAACAAAATTCTTCCTGTCATGTTCTCTACCATTCTGATCCTGTCCTTCAGGAATAACTGCTCTGATCTCGTTCTCTAGTCTCGCTGGATCGGCAGCCCAGCCCATGTGTTCTACATTACAGAAGACAGTCCATTCCTCCTGATGCCAGACAGTTGCCACATCCAGTTGGCACCTCTCACCTTTGTACAGGAAATGCCTGCAAGAACTAAGAAACTCAGGGTCACATATTTATTGAGAGGGCATGTGTTGTAGGCAGGCACCCTTCTCCTTGTCTTTCAAGAACGAACCACCAAGACATAACCTTCCATGTACCTGTGCATTTAACCTGTGTGATATTTCAGATGAAATGACAGCTCATGGAGGGAACGTTACATAATTATTGGGATTGCAGCAGCTAGGGGGTTACCCACTTCTTCCCTTGCTGCTGCCCAGACAAAAGTCCCTCCTTTGAAAATTCTGGCATATGCTAATTTATCACATTTAGAAATCAAGAACATAATATAAAGAGAAATGCAGTTCCATGGGCCTGTTGCCCAGGTAAGGACTGTTAAAATCCTTTTATATTTAATCTGATCTTGTACAAATACCATACAAATAGAGAACTGCTTCAAATAGAGGACTGCCCACTCTAAAAGCAGAGCAAACAGACACCTTAATTTCAGGGGAAACACCCAAATTTCCCTATTCTCAATATAGGCATAAAATTGACTACTTTAGTTTCATGTATTTAAATGCATACGTTGATATGGTTAAGCTAGCCTTGACTTCTTGATAGGTCTTTGGTTGTGGTAAGTTTCTTGAGATTGGGGGACTGGGAGCCTCTCGGTTATGAAAAACATGGCAAAGCAGGATCTGATTTTGCAGCTCAGTGCGTAGGAAAAATGGCCATTCCCCAAACGAAATGTCTTTTTTTCTCCTTATTAAAAGCATATGTTGGCAGGGCTTTCCCTACCCACATGTTTACTTTAACGAATGACTGCACGTTGTTTGCCACGACTGGCCTTGCTGTTATATAATAATAGAGATATAAAATTGCAATGCAATAACACATTGCTTTAAAATGAACAGTAGAACTGCGCTTGGCAAAAAAAAGCAAGTACACAACCCAAAGGACAAGTATCTAACTAGGGGTGGGGGAAGAATTTTGATTCAGTTCACATTTATTTAACTTATAATTTAATGAATAAATTTATATCCTACTCTTCCTCCCAAAGGAGCCCGGAGTAACAGGCAAACATATACAGTGGTACCTCGGGTTACATACATTTCAGGTTACATACGCTTCAGGTTATAGACTCCACTTACCCAGAAATAGTACTTCGGGTTAAGAACTTTGCTTCAGGATGAGAACAGGAATTGTGCTCCAGTAGCGTGGCAGCAGTGGGAGGCCCCATTAGCTAAAGTGGTGCTTCAGGTTAAGAACAGTTTCAGGTTAAGAACGGACCTCCGGAACCTGCCTGACTCACTTTCTGAAACAATAAGTATTCCAAAGCACAGTCATTCTTTGAAATTCCCACTTCTCCGAATTTGCGCTGAAGTTCCCCAGCTAAGTAATGTGTGTAAAAATGCATCTATTAAGGTAAAGTGTTCATTAAAATACTTGTACATTTTGTGGAAACAGCACCTTATTAGGATAAATTGCGTTGCAAAAGTGTGTACATTAGGAGAAATTTGCGCTGAAATTCTGATGGATTTTCATAAAGACTCTCCTCCCTGAAAGAGAGGGGAGTGGTTGTGGGCGGGAGCCCGAACACCGCTCCTAGCAGGGGGCGTTGCCCCCTGCCTCCAGCTCCTTTTAAAAACGCAAACTGACCTGGAAATATGGAGGACTGAACTTAAGATGGGAAAAGTGAGAAACTGAGAGCAGCCGAAACTGACAGGTTCTCCCATCCCTACATTTAAACCCCCCCCCCCATGGAATCTCAATGGAAAAAGAAGCCAGGGAACTAAGAGTTAAAAGGAAAGCTATTCCACCACTCTGGTGTGTTCCTTCCAGAGGGTAAAAAGCTAAGTGGGTGGATTGTGCACACCACTAGGGATGAAAGGGAAAGACTGGTTAGACAGCTGACTAAAATCTAATTAGGTTGCTTAAGGAAGAGCTACTGCTCTCCTGGAAAAACCTGACCTAGATGGGATGAGGGATGCATTTCAGATGCCCTTAACAGCAACCCCAATGCTTGCATTCTGCCACTGTATATGAGATTCTGACAATTCAGAGGGAGCAAAACAAACAAGCTGGCTCACACCAAATCAGGCTATCTCGCTCAGTAGCATCCATGTTGACTGGCAGCAGCTCTCCAGGGTTTCAGAGAGAAAACTCTCCCAGCGCTACCTGCAGATGCCAGGGATTGAACCTAGGATCTTTTGCATGGGCTCTGCCTCTGAGCTACCACCCTTCCTCAAGCAATTACTCCACCTTACACTGAGTCAGACCATTGGCAATATCGCCAACACTTGACTGGCAGGGGCTCTCCAGGCAGGGGACATTCTCTGCCTGAATGTCCCCACCTGGAGATGTCACTGATGGAACCCAATACCTTCTACTTACAAAGCACATGCTCTGTCACTGAGCTATGGGCCTTCCCAAGCACCTGAGAAGTGCTAGGTCTGAATTTAAGAGGTCATTAGAATTTGTGAGATTCTAATTCATGTCCATGGTACTTCATGGGGGTTGCATCTCGGTGGCTTGTGAATCCCAGACTGAGCACCAGGTGCTAAATTCAAAATAGGGTGTGTCAAGCCAAAACCCTTGCTCCTACTCACCTATTTTCTGATTACGTCCTTGGCCTGTAAGTTAATTATTCTAAGGAAGTGCCAAGAAGCTACTGAGACTGTGAGTAAGCTAGAATTAATCAACTAAGAATTGTTGTTGCGTGTCTGCCAGCCCAGGTTAATAAATCTTGTGACATCAACACTTTCAGAAAGAGCAAATCTGTGTGCCTAGATAAAGAGGCCTAGATAAATCCAGATTGTGCTATTCACCTCTTCATGAGCAATCCATGAGAACTGCTGACAAATTTGACCCAAAACAGAATTTGGGTCAAAATCTAGCATTCCTCCATAACAGAAAAGTGTTCCAGAACTTTAGGTGAAATAAAGGAAATATTATACTTTGTAAAGTTCTGAGACTATAAAACACACAACAGTTCAGTTCAGCCCAAAACACGTGTGCATGAGCATTTGTGAAGCCTTGGAGGACTACAGAATCCATGATGCAGTGTAACCCTAGAAGTGTAATTGTGGGGAATACTGTTCCATCCAATTAAAACCAGCCCAGACACTGTCTGAGCATAACCATTCCGGTGACCTCCTCAATCCCCAGATACGTATAACAGTAGTCTAATCTGGAGTGTTGGGCAGTTCTGCAGTGTGTTTTATGGTTTACTTTGAAATAAGTTACTTTGGGCTTTGTCAGTAGATGGTATAAAATTGAATGGCTAGGCAGATGGAAAGTCTAATAGATCTACTCCCTATGCAATTGAAGATATGGCAAGGTAAAGAAAGATGGAGCAAAAAGCAGCATCTCACCAGTGAGAAAGTGTCTTCATTGTTAGACCAGAAAGCAAATCCAGCCCAAAGACATCTATGAGGGACTAGGAGTATCACCAACCTTCTCTCTGGCCCACTGATGGAAGGAGACTTCCTCAGGTAGTCCCCTTGTAATGAATGCCCTACTCTAACCAGACAGCCTGCAGGTCCCAGAGATGGCCCTACCCTTAGGCTGTGTGGCATGGATGCCTCAGGCAGCAGATACTGAGAGGCAGGGAGTAGCAGTGAGGAAGTGGAGGACAGATCTGTGTGGGCCGCATGGTCAGCCTGTCAGCCTGTCGTCTTCCCATTACCAGTGTTCAAAAAAGACCAAAGTGAAAGTTGGATCGGTTTCCGTGCAAATAATGCAGGGATGAGTAACCTTTTTCAGCCTGAGGGCCAATTTCCTTTCGGGGGGGGGCACGTTTGGCAGGGCCAGTGGCAAAAGTAAAAGTAGGTGAAGCAACAAATGTCAACGTTTGCTTTGTACAGTAGTCTAGCTTCGACACACACACCTCACCATCCTCCATCCAGGAGAGCAAAAGGTATGATCCTGGACACATTCCAGCCAGGAAAAAACAATCAAGGAGGATGAGAAGCAGGGCTGGTGAGGAGTATGGCCTGGGTGAGGCACAGATAGAAGGGGCTCCTGGCCCTCAGGTTCCCCAACACTGGTGTAATGGAAGGAGGAGCCATCTCATCCCTCACCACCTCAGAGAGCCAGCTCTGGCAGGTACCCTGAGTGCTTGAATAACCAGCCAGCCAGTTATTGGTTACAAATGTATGGGGCGCCATCTTGAAGTGTTGAAATAATATTTTTTTTACGCACAGTTTCTTTTTTCTCTCTTTCCTCCCTTCCAGGCTCAAGTGACCTCCACAGACTTCCGTCACCATGGACTGGAAGACCCTACAGGGCCTGCTGAGTGGGGTGAACAAATACTCCACCGCTTTTGGGCGCATCTGGCTCTCCGTTGTCTTTGTCTTCCGAGTCCTGGTTTATGTGGTGGCTGCTGAGCGAGTGTGGGGGGATGAGCAGAAGGAGTTTGATTGCAACCACCGTCAGCCCGGATGCACCAACGTCTGCTTTGACCACTACTTCCCCATCTCCCACACCCGGCTGTGGGCCCTGCAGCTTATCTTTGTCACCTGCCCTTCGCTGCTGGTTATAATGCATGTGGCCTACCGCGAGGACAGGGAGAGGAAAAACCGGTTAAAGAATGGAGAGAACTGCCCCAAACTCTACAGCGACACTGGCAAGAAACATGGAGGCCTCTGGTGGACTTATGTTCTCACCCTCTTCTTCAAGTTGGCTATCGAGATCGTCTTCCTCTACCTCCTGCATAGGATATGGGAGAGCTTTGACATGCCCAAGCTGGTCAAGTGCGACCTGAAGCCTTGCCCCAATGTAGTGGACTGCTACATCGCTCGGCCAACGGAGAAGAAGATTTTCACCTACTTCATGGTTGGGGCGTCTGCCTTCTGCATCGTCCTCATTGTCTGCGAGATTGTCTACCTCATCTGCAAGCGGGTGTTCCGCTCGATACAGAAGTGCCAGAAGAAGAAGAGGTCGCTCACCTACAGCAAGGCATCCACCTGCCAGTGCCATGCAAGACTGGACCAACCGCATTATGGGAAAGGGAAGCACACACAGGTGGAGGCCCTCAGAGCCTCCGCACCTAACCTGACTTTGATCTGAGGCGGCGTGAAAGGACAGATCCAAAATGGCCGGCTGCCATTTGGATTATTTCATTGCAACACACAAGTGGCTTTTGAGGAACATGGGGCAAGGAAGGGTGATTTGAAACAGAAGTCTTCCTTCTACATTGTGTGGCCACCAAAGTTTTCCACAAAGGGGAAGCACCGTCATGTTTTGTTGAGGCCTAAAGGCAAAGCCTCCTGGCCTGTTTACATGTTTTTACTAAACTGAAGACGCATGGTCAAAGCACGCACAACACAAGATGTTGACTTGTATAATCCCTGGAAGAAGTTGCAGCTCTTTAGATCCTAATATCTGCTCTTTCTCAGAAGAGATGATAATACGGGCAGTTGGCTAAGAGAGCCACATATGTGAAACATCTGTTATGGTCTTCAGAAAACTCCTAGCAACTAATGACTTATAGCTCTGATTCTTTCCTCTGACTCATTAAAATGTTTATAGAGTGTTGCAGAACCAATGAAGGGGTGGGAGGGGGGACTGTTTAGTTAATGCTGTCCAAAAACAAATGATGAGAAGGAAAGGTTGGTTTCAGCTCAACCTTTTCACCAAAATTTCACCTAAAGGAAATTCAAAGTTAATTTGGAGGTTTCACTTCAGGCAGAATAACTTCGCAATTTCAAGGAAAGCCAAGAAAAAAATTCAAGTTGGGGGGAGGCGTTTGCACCGTCTATAGGTGTGTTTACATGAACAAAGGGGCACAGCCTTAGATATCTCTGTATAGTAGCTTTTTCCAGTCTGCTGCATTCCAGGTGTTGTTCATTCCCAGCCCCAAACACAATGGCCAATAATCAGGGATGGTGGGAGTTGTTGTTCAAGAACACCTGAAAAGCACCAGCTTTGGGAAAGCCTGCTGTAGGGGTTAGCCAAGAACAAATGCTTTCATGATGTCCTGTTTACACCAGCCTCCTCAACCCTCGTGTCTCCAGATGCTGAGAGACTACAGCTCTCAACACCCCTGGTCCTTGGCCATGTTTCCCAGGCCTAATGGGTGAGGAGGACACATGATTGGGGGAAACTGGTTACACACTCCTTACTAGACCTTTCCCCAAAGGAAGGATTGTGCCCAGTGAAGTTCTGTGAGAATAATACAAGGACTCTGGTGCTTTCCAGAGAGGAAGCCATCTTCCTTCCTGGACCAGACTGAGGCACCCTGCAAAGGCGGCTTTATTCTGGTAGCAGTTCAACTTCCCCTGAAATCCTGCCTAACATGACATTCCAAATTGGTTTGAGGGTTCTACTTTGACGGAAACCTCTGAGGACTTTCATCGGAAGCCAAAGAGAGTTGTAATATGCCTCATTGGTGGGGTGGACAGTTTGCTTAAGGCCTGAAGCTTCAACCAGATTAGGTTGAAAGCAAATTTCTAAATGAGATTGGAGGTTTCCCCATATGCAAAAGAACCATATAAGGGATTCTGAGGGTGTTGATGAACTAGAGCCATTTCTCAGGTGGGCTTCCTATCTTTTTTGTAAGAGTTCTGTACTGCTTGGCAAATATAAGGTGATCATTTATGCACTACCAAAAAAAAAAAGAGGACGAAAGAATGAAGTGCTTTACATAAAATTTGCACATGTTAATGTGTGTGTGTGTGTGTGTGTGTGTGTGTGTAAAGGCACATTTGTAAATAAGTGTTATACTTCAAGTAGATATGCAATACATCCCATAGAAGTGGGGAAGACCATGACCAGGTAGCCTGTATGTTCCTGCTCAGCCTCCTGTCCAGGTACTGACTGTTGATGGGCAATTTCAAGACCCCTCCTGCTCTCCCATCTTAGAGGTCTTTAAATTTAAACCAGACAACCCTTTAAACAGAGAGTGTCCTCTGGAAAGTAGGGCACATGGCCACCCTTATTTGGCAACATCTCACAGTGGGAGTGATGGCACACTGGAGAGTTGTTTAACTGAAGCAACTGTTTACGTGAACGGGGTGTGAGGCAGAACTGACCTCATTCAACAAGCTGTGCAGGTTTGACATGGCGCTCTGGAGGGGCAAGGACTTTGCAAGGGAGAAAGAGGGGGCCACCATTATAGAAAAGCACCCAACAATTAGGGGTTCTCATTTCCCTCAGTAAAAGGCAATAATAATAATAATAATAATAATAATAATAATAATAATTAATTAATTTATTTATTATTTGTGCCCCGCCCATCTGGCTGGGTTTCCCCAGCCACTCTGGGCGGCTTCCATAGAAACCAAAGATACAGTAAAATATCACAGATTAAAAACTTCCCTGGACAGGGCTGCCTTAAGATGTCTTCTGAATGTCAGGTAGTTATTTATCACTTTGACATCTGATGGGAGGGCGTTCCACAGGGCGGGCGCCACTGCTGAGAAGGCCCTCTGCCTGGTTCCCTGTAGCTTTGCTCTCGCAAGAGGGAACGCCAGAAAGCCCTTCGGTGCTGGACCTCAGCGTCCGGGCAGAACAATGGGGGTGGAGACGCTCCTTCAGGTATACTGGGCCTGAAGACCAATCCTGCAGCACAATCCTGAGCATGTTTACTTAGAAGGGAAGATTGCTGAGTTCAGTGGGGCAATGTTAGAACTGATGGCTTGGATTGTGAGCTGGAAAATGCCTACTTCAAAAATCTCTTGTCCACCACAAGGAATCTTCCTTTCTCTCTCAGCCTCAGGCTTATGTCTGCAAAATACCTGGCAGGTGGGACTTCAGGGCCAAACAACATTACTCAGCTAATGCATATGAAGTTCTTTAATAATAAGGAAGAGTCAGGTGAACATTTGCACCAGTGTTCTGCTGCAAGAGTTATTCTGACCCATGGGGGTCCTTCAGCATCAGGTGAATTCAACATCCTTCGCCGTACCATCCTTGGGAACCCAACCTAAGGTTCTCAGGCTCAGTGAGAGCAACACCCCACCTAACTCAGTATTTCCTAGACTGACTGGAAGTGGCTGTCCATGGTTTCAGGCAAGGTGCTCTCCCAGGCCTACCCAGAGATGCCAGGTATTGAACCTGGGACCCTCTGCGTGCAAATCTGATGCTCTGACACTGAGCTATGGTCCTTCTGTAGATTTTTACCAGGATTTGCCAAGTTTGGACCTGCAGCCTTGCCTGTGTGTGCAAAATAGCCACACCATGGAGAAATCAACCCTCTCAGCAGGAGGTAGGATGGGCATGCAAAATTGCTTGGGTGCCATCCTACAAGCTGCTGCGGGTTGCCCCATCTAACAATTTACTTGTGGGACAGGAGCTATCCTGACAAAATGACTTTCCACAGGGAGCGGACTCCTGCTGAGTCAGACTATTAGTCCATTTAGCCAAATGCTGTATGACTGACTGAAGGTTTCCAAAGATTGCAGGTAGCGATATTTCCCAGGCCTATTAAATGAGATCATTGTGCTGGAGACGCCCTGAGATCTTGCGCATGCAAAGCACGCACTCTGCTTCTTGTGGCAGAGTTGTGGCTGTCCCTCAAAGAGAGAGCCCCAGGGCTTTGGTGTGTCTGTCCTGGGATGGTCTTTAGACAACCCTGGTTTATTAGCGCCATGCTTTGACCATCCACACCTGTTGGCCAGTTGATCATGACAAGAGCAAAGAAATTAAGCCAGTGCACTTAATTGTCAGAAATCAAAGATTATTACGGTTCCAGGACAAAACAAAGCTAAAAAGCATTTTAATGCTGAACAATTGCCTCCATGGTAATCAAGCGCACCAGCATCCAGATATTTCTGGTGTAGCTTGACAGCTTCTCTTATGAATTCAACAAATTTCTCTGTGAGACCTTTCTTGTGGGTGGCCTTTAATGAGGGCAGTCTTTTTTAAAAAAAATACTCCCACAATATTCACAACGGGGTAGGAAACTAGAATTCAGCAGGATAACACAGGAACTAATGGAGGAAAAGAAGAAGTAATAATTTCACTCACAGTTCTGAGTGCAGCTCAGATCTGAAACCTGCCATCCTCAGTAGACTAAATTCAATCAAAAAGAGACATTTTGCAGCAGCAGAAACAACGACAAAAGTTAGAAGAGGGGGATTGAGCTGCTTCCATTGCAGATGGTGAGAAATGATTGGAGAATTTCTCCACCCTCCAAGATTATTCAGTGGAATTTTCCCTCCAATTCTTCTGCTGGCAAGTAGGGCAGAGAACTTCAGAAGTCCCTTTTTCACTCAGCTCTAGGCCCCAGGGTCAGCAGATGGGGAAAGAGGAGAGGGATCCTGCAACTTTAATTGCTATGTAGAAGAGGAAATATCAACAGGTGTTTCTTCCCATTAAAGGTGCAGGAGCTGTGAGCCGTTTGTATCTGGCCACCTCAGTAGACTTCGATGGAGGGGATTTAAGCAAGGGAAGGTTTTCATACCACTCACATCCGGTGATGGGGAGAAAGCTTCACCTGCAACATTTCTTCAAGTTTGGCTGCTGTTAAAGGTTCCAGCACAACCAGGAAGAAAAGCAAGTGATTTTTATGCTCTGTTGCCCTGCAAATAGGGTAAGGTAAAGGTAAAGGGAAAGGGACCCCTGACCAATAGGTCCAGTCGTGACCGACTCTGGGGTTGCGGCGCTCATCTCACTTTACTGGCCAAGGGAGCCGGCATTTGTCCGCAGACAGCTTCCGGGTCATGTGGCCAGCATGACTAAGCCGCTTCTGACGAAGGCCGTTTACCTTCCCATCAAAGTGGTACCTATTTATCTACTTGCACTTTGACGTGCTTTCGAACTGCTAGGTTGGCAGGAGCAGGGACCGAGCAACAGGAGCTCACCCCTTCGCGGGGATTCGAACCACCGACCTTCTGTTCGGCAAGTCCTAGGCTCTGTGGTTTAACCCACAGCGCCACCCGCGTCCCGCAAAGAGGGTAGGCAGCTGCAAAAGAGGACAGTGTTCCTGTACTCTTAATTTCTATGTATAAAAGGGACTTCAGCAAGTGTAGTATCTCATGCCAGGCACAACAGCTGATAGTACCTCAGTCCTCCAGCTATTGAAGGTACAGGAGCCCAGTCCTCTGAAAACATGAGTTCCCATTCCAGGTATATGGGAGGGAAGGAGAACTGGCCACAAACCTGAAAATCAGAAAAAAGGCTATTTGCTGCCTTTCAGCAGTAAATTAACCAGGTGCCAGGCTCTTATCTGTTGCTAATCTTGGCTGGGAGGTCAAGAGAGTGGCATGCTTATTGCTCTTTTGTCCAGGAAGTTATTTCTCTTTTCTGCTTTGAGCGAGTTCATTGGCAACCGAAAACAAAGAAAGCGTTGAGTGACAAGAGTCAGCTCTTCAAAGGAGAGGGCTTGACTTAAAAGGAGGCTGGGACTTCTCCCTGAAGGGGGTAAAAGTAACAACCATAAATCAATAGCGTTCAGCAAACATGTAATACAAAAGGGGGAGTGGAAGCTGGGACAGAAAACCTCATGGAAGGGACAACCAGAGCAGCCTTTGCAAGATTTGCAAAGGAGATCTCCCTTGCAGGGAGATAAGGCTTGAGAATCAGAGCTGGGGGAGAAACTG